ATCAATTTCATCGAGATCTTTTGTCTGGTCGGTCCAGGGGTAATACAACATGAGCATGTGATATGCAAACTCATAGTGGTTATTCACAGAATCCGGTTTAAAAAATCTTATAATTCTACACCTTTTTCTAGCTCTAATAAAACCCATATCTTTCTTTAATTCTAACCATGTGTTATTGACTTCATCTTGCTCATCATCATTTTCTTGATCATCATTTTGAGGTTCATCGTCAGCATTTGATTTTTTTTTGGATAACGATTTGGGTCTTTTCTTCGAATATGAATAATAAGCAGCAAATTGAGCCAAATTACATTCCGCAATATCGTCGGGTCTATTTTGGTAATGCCCAAGCAATCCAGCCATGTAAATATCTTCTGAATTTGGGTTTAACTTTTGAAGCTCGATTCTAGGTTTAAGCATGCGGCAACGGTTTTCTTCTTTTCCTGTTGGAATAAAAACAGTAGAGCGGCTAGTCTCACTCATTCGGAGGTGCAGTAAGTTATAAGACGCTTCCTGAGATGAGACCTCACACAGATTGTACTATTTTGAAGTTAAAGACCTCAAAACACCTTTTACAGGGCCAGGTTTGTTGACACCCTCTGATAACACAGTCTCCATTACTTTTGTCATTTCTTTGTTAGATTTGTTAATATAATCTACAATGTACATACAGCAGGCATACGGGTCTAAAATAAATTGTATATCCATATTGGCTCTGTGCATACTGAGAATAAGTGGATTGTAGTTGTTGATAAACAGCTCATTTACGCCCCGTTTCAAAAATACTTTGCTGCAAAAAAGAGTTGATCTAACAGCTAAAATGTATTCGTCATAGTTGATACCAAACAACAAAAGGAAATCATCAAACGTCATGGTATTTCTTAAGTTTTTGAGAGTCTCAGAATTTTCTGCGAAATATGTTTTGATACTTTTGGCTATAGCAATGATGTCTTTTCGTCGATCTTTCTCGGAATCGGTCGCACCCTCATCTAACTCAGGCAATTGTGAAAGTATCACCGTCTGTTTCATGGGGAAAAAAGGGATATTAAATCTACAATTTTTTTTTCCTGTTCGTTTCAATGACCTTTTAAAGCAAGTCAAGGTATGGCTATGTGTTTGCCGAGATACCACTAATTCTGATAATCCGGGATATTTGTCTGCAGCAGGATTTAATTTGCATGTTATTATTTGATCAATAAATGGCTGTACAATGTCCTCATTTGATCCATCGTAGATTGGGGCGTTGGATAACCATACAAGCATATGAACATGCGGAGTTCCACGATGTTGGAATTCAATTCTATAATAGTAATCATTTACACTATGATTACCGAATGGGCCCTAAGGTGGCCTCCATGTTGATTTCAAATGCCTGAAACGCCTGTCAAAATATCTGGCACACGTAGGCGCGTCAGCTTGAATGAGCCTAGCTATATCGTCACTAGATAAATTAGCAGCTTCCTCCTCAGTAATGTCATCTTTGTCTACGAGCTTCTTTAAAATAACAATCAGTTCTAACCATTTTGTTTCAGCAGCTGAAAGCGTAACAAAAAGTGTTGGCATGCCTAATTGACGAATCATGACCATCACGTTACATTTTTCTGTCTTCCAGTAAGTTGGCGAACTTCGAACACCACTAAAAACATTAAAGGCGTCATCTCGTTTGATACTGTTGCTGATCATATCGTCTTGAAGTACCTGATTTGCTTTCAGTCCTTTGTTGTTAGGTTTACTTTTGCGCATCATAGTGGATACGCCACCAACCAAATTTAAATGCAATCTTTTTTTATCCATAAAACAAAGATAGTCGGGACGAACAGTTCGATGATCAGCACTTCGAACTAACGATTTTATCATCGAAGCATATGATAATGGCTTTTCGTTATGCATTGGAGTGAGAATCTGACCGCCGAATATCTTTGGAAATGCTAAAAAATCCGTGTCCTCATCCATTAGTAAAGAGAGCGCAGTTGATCTCTCGCCAGGAGCCATTCTTAAACCTGTCCCATCATCGGAATCAGGTACCTCTTCACCGGAAAACAACGTTTCGTTGCCGCCAATTGGTATGTCATCTTCCGAAATACCGTTACCATCTTGATTTGCAACATCGTCTTCCTGATCCATATCATCTACTGGATCATACTCTGAACTTAACTGATCATATGTATCCAACCAGCTATCGTCAATATTAGTATCATGCTTTTCGTATGCGGGTTGTGATTTTAAGTAATGGATAGCTTCCCAGACAAATCTTGGGTTTACATTTCCTTCCATGTAATTGTGAACGTCTGTCATTTTTCTGGCAAGTCGGACAGGTATAATGTAAGTGTCATTGAGCGAACGAGGAAGTGAAGTAACAGAAGTGTCAATAGATACAGGAATGTTATTGATTGCACCTTTACTTTTAAATTGACCTCGGACGCCTGCAATTGTCCAAACAGACATAAATACATGTCGTGCAGCAACCAATAGCTCCTCAATTCTATTTAATCTTTCGATTTCAATAGGCAATTCCTTAAGTTTGGATCCATTTTCGAGGCAAAGGCGAGGACGTTTTAATTGCCGGATATCCTGAAAGCAAGTATTACAAAATGTACCATTTAAATCGCTCACAGTATCGTCATTCACAGAAGCTGAAGCTGATCCAAAAACAGTCTTAATAAATTCTAGTGTTCCTCCTTTATTTATAATAGTTTCAGCTTTTAAATGTTTTGATAGCGAAGGAAAAATTGTACCATTGCAGCACAAACAAATACAAGTTGGACCTTCCTTAATTAATTGCTGATATTTGGATTGAATTTGCTCAAAAGCCTGTTGAACAAAAAAGATAATCAGCATATATAAAATACTTATTGATATCATGCCACATATTACCTGATTTGTATCGTTATCGTCCTCCTGATCAGCAGCTTGGCTTGAGCCGTTCTCCTGGTCAGCAGCTTGGGTGGAGTCGTCCTCCAAATGTTCACCATCATATTTATTTTTTTCTTGTATATTAGTGATGTTAAATTTAATGTTACTTATAAAATATACCTGACGCCGTCTACGCTTCCGCTGGTTTTCTTCTTTTCTAAAAGAGGAATCTTCTCTTTGTTTGGCCTTACGCTTTCTTCGACGTTCACGTTTTTCTTCCTCGGTTAATGGAGCTGTGGAAGTTGATCTCCGTTTCTCTTTTCGGTTTTCATTGCGCATTCGTTTTCGTTCTTCTCTTTCGGCATCTGTTAATCTAGGTCTACCCATGTTAATTTTTTTATCAAAAAAAAAGGGAAAGAGTGCTACTAATATCGACAGGTTAAAACTCCGGAATAAAATGGTCAAAAAAAGTGAGACGCCAAAAAAGAAAAAACAATAAAAGGGGTTTACACTGTAAACCCCCTTCTGAAGTTTTTTTTATTATTCGATGTCCGACGTTTTCTGTACCAAAAAAGTGAGACACCACAAATTTTTTGTTAAAACACTAAAGGTCATTTTTTTTAAAAAATGCCCTGAAAAAACCGGATCAAATGCATAATTTAGGGGGTGTATATTTTAAAATTAGCTCTCCCTTTCAGCCTTCAGCCAAATAAAAAAACTTTCGTTTATACAAATTAAATCATTTGATACATTCATTCGTTTGAAAAAATTGGTTTGCAGTTTTAAAAGTTTATTATATATTTTATTTATAAGAATGAAAGTAAGATTAATTTATATTTTAATACTTGAGGAAAAATTGCTATGTAGAAGGATTACTACTTAAATGAGCTAAAAAGTAAACGGTACATGGCATAACATGAAGGCATTGATTATTCTGTATAGAAAGCAACGTATAATCTAAAAACAAGGGGGATAACCAAAGTTTTCTAAATGAATATTAGGTTAGTTTATGATAAGAAGACTCAAAATTGATACGTACTAATTCCTTTTCTAAACAGAGTTGCCGCTACAACGGTAAAAGCAAGAAGCGTAAGTCTGAAGAGACAATTAGAGAAAGGAAAAGCCATAAACAAAAAACACTTACTTATAGCACTGGCGTAGTACACTGCAAGCACGGCCTTTATACACCTGTCTATGCTGATTTAAAAGAGAGATAAGTAAGGGGAGGGACTGCAGAGATGGAATGGTGAGTTCACCAGAGTGTAATTGGAAAAGAAGTAAGCCCAGAGGTTTATTCAGTTACATGGTTACGAGAAACAAGAACGAATAAAAGTAATTTTTTTTTAAACAAAACTGATTTATTGAGGTAAAAAGATAGAAAATAGATATTAAAAAAGAAAAAAGAAAAAAGAAAAAAGAAAAAAGAAAAAAGAAAAAAGAAAAAAGAAAAAAGGAAAAAGGAAAATGAAAAAGAAAAGGAAAAAAAAAGACTCCGTTTATATGTACTTTTTAGAGGTTGGTGTTACGACGTAGGGATGACTGGAGGCAGATAATTTTTTTTATACGCGGCTTCTTGACAACAGGACACTAAGACAGATACTCGTCTGCTTCAGGTAAATGGAATAAATGAGTAATTTTAAGTGGATCTCAATTTTTATTCACAAAATCTGGGTAAGTATCCACCCATAGACGAATGCTCGTCTGCTGCAGGTAAATGGAACGAATAAAAAAGCTTAAATTTTTGTGCAACGTTTATATTTTACTCAAAATGAACGAACAGTTACCCCTGGACGAATATTTACCCTTTTTGAGTAAATGAAGTAATTTTATTTTTTGTGTACCATTGTTTATTTACCCGAAATGAACGGATACTCGCTCACGGACGACTATCCGCTCAGATTTGAACGAATGCTTACCCCCAGACGACTATTCGCCCATTCGTCCGCATTTACTCTGTTAAAGTAAGTTTTTTTAGCCTAGGTGTATAAGCCTTTGGTCTTATGGACTTTTAAAAGCAAAGTTTTGATTAACATAATGGATGTTTGAAAGTTATATTATTAATTGCTCAATAAAAGAATTTATCCTGTATCCTCCAGGTTTAACTGATTTCTCCTTTTTCAACTTACCTTTCCTATTATTTGAATAAAATGTCAATGAGCATTCAACCTTATTATCCTATTCCTGTTACTTTAACATCTCTTATTGAGACCTACAAAACTGAAATTCAAGAATCTGTTTCGAAACATGATGTAAAATGGAATTTCAACAAACATCAAGATGTCCCTACTGAATACTTAAATGTTATACAAAGATAGCCAACCTATGTCTTCAGAGAATACTATGTATGCCATCGTTCAGGCTCCGAAAGTGAACATGGTGGTGTTGTCCGAGTTGGTACTTCCGTCCCGGCATCCGGTTTGTAGAAGAGAAGCAAGAAGATCAAATGCCCAGCCTTTCTAAAGGTCGTCTGTTTGCCATGTAGTAAATCAATGGTTATTGCAAGCTCGTAGTGTATGTTTTGATGCTACCCACAGCACTACCAATTTTTTCCAATAAAATCCTGAATACGATTGTCACACGCCATTCCTTGACCCGCACTGGTTTTCCTGTTGCCTTTTTTTTCTTAATCGATCAATCAATGGGTCCTTTGGCCAACGTCTTGGGGCTCTTAAGAAATAATGTTGGGTTCGATCATTTGTTCAAGGGCACTAGCACTGATGTTCTCTGCCTGCATCTCTCTTCTGTCATATCATCTTTCTTCTGGACCTATTCTTCCAACTGTCAAAAAGATACGACTGATGTTATCGTTGAACTCAGGCAGAACACTCTTCACTAAAACAAACACCAATAGATCAACACTACGTTTTCTTTTCCTACCAAAATATGTTGTCTTCAACTGCTTATGCCAATTTCCTATATAATTGTTTGTCTTCATATTGATGTACATGGCTGGTTGGTATGCGGCGGACCATCGCATAAACGCATCTTTTTCCAGGTACCGGCTGTAGTAAAAAATACACTTTAAGAGAGAATAGTTTTAAAGAAAAAAATAGATAAAAAAACAAAGCTAATACAATTATAAGTCTTGTCGATTTATTTCTATCAAAATTGCTTAAGAGCTAAGTAGACGGGCAGGTTTGCCCTGATATTTATAGAAGATTGAAGATATTGTGGCTTGTATTTTGACAGCTCTAATCTATCGTAGTTTTATATGATGACCATTTATTTGGTTTATTGAAGATCGTAGGATAGCCGTTCTTGATTTATTATTGTTCCTTAAATTCTCTGATCTCTCATTGTTCCGAGCCTAGAGTTGTCTTGTAATGAAGAAATTTCCATGATGCCGGGTTACTTATTCCCGATCTTTTATCCGTGAAACATCTTTCCTTTTGTAGACAGTAGCATTATTATGTGGTTTTAGCACACCGGCTTTTGAAATACTGCAAAAAGGCAGGATAAACAAAGTTTTCGGTGATAAACGCTGTCAATTTTCGCGTGAAGACAGGCCTACTACGTTCCCACATCATTGCCTTTAGATCTGCAATGATCTTGCTCAGGACAACGTGGTCGTGGCGAATTAGCGACAAGAAATTTGATTTGGATGCTTATACCATTTTTGGCGTATTAGACGGAGTATGTAATACGTAGTGTAAAAGCCTAAGGCCCCTCACAAGCACACAAAAAAAATTTTTAATGGTCCAAATATAGGACTTTTTTTTTCTTCTCCGTTTTTTTTTTTTTTTGGTGAAAGGTTACCTCAGATTCCAAAAAGATGTATTTTCTCAGAAATTCGTGACGATGCTTTTTAAATGGCTTGTTATGGATGATTAAAATTGATGTTTTCTCGAATTGCTAAAATGTCTGGACTGGATTTCATTTTTTATTTTTTTATTTTTTCTTTTGCCCCCTTTCCATAATTTATTTTATTTTTTAAGTTAACAAAAATGAACCCTCTTCAAATTGCAACTGTCATGTCTCAATTACATCTTCATATTATGGAACTTTTAGAAAATTCACGTCGTTTGGAAGAAGATGCCAACAGTCTTCACTCGATTAGTGAACTCTTGATTGCCGAACGCCTTCAATATGGTTATATTGCTAGTGACTTCCAGAGTCAATTCGGTGTTGCCATCACCAGTTTACCCATTTTTTTCGGGGGTGAATATGTCGAGAGAACCCGAACGGTTGTTGGTGCCGATGGTCGTAGAGAGTCTCGTCGATACCACTTTTGGAAATTGGAACACCCTTTTCTGAACGACGATGACGAGAATCAAGTCAACAGTTACCGGGCAACATACCGCATGAGTAAGCGTGCATTCGAGCATTTGGTGAACGAGCTGTCCTTGCACGAGGCGTTCAACCTTGTCGCACCTAACACCATCCCGATCTACATTCAGATCGCAACGGCTTTATTTCGTTTGGCCAATAGTCATATCGGATATCGTCAAGCGTATATGCATTTGGGTGTTTCTTGCGGTAGTTATAACAACTTCACCAAACGAACAGTCAAAGCAATCAAAGGAAGACTGGGTCACTTAGTTGCTTGGCCAACTGACCCAGAGGAAGCAGATGAAGTAGCTCTCGGGTTTGGTAGTAACGATGGTCGCAGGTTGAGCCACGTTATTGGTGCTGTGGATGGCAAGAATTTCAAAATTCACAAGCCTTCTGGTGAAGCTGGTGGGATGTTCAGAGATCGTAAGAATGATTACTCTGTCAAACTGACTGCAGTTTGTGACTCTGAGTTGCGATTTACGTACATCAGAGTAGGTGATTCAGGTATTGTAACCAAAGCCAAAAACCTAAAAAATACAAATATGCTAATATGTATTAATCTATCAGGAAGAACACATGATGCAGCCGCATTCACCTCGAGTGATCTCTTTAGAACCATTCTTGCGAACCCTGAGACCTACTTCCCTGGTCGTACGTTTTTGGTTGGTGACTCTGCATATCCTTTGGGTCCCAATTTAATTACACCCTTCCCGGAAAGTCAATGTTTGGTTGACAGCAATAAACGTACATTCAACCATATACATTCGGCCACAAGAATGGCTATTGAAAGAGCGTTTGGTGTACTGGTGGCTCGTTGGAGATTTACTGGTCGATATATCTACCTCTTAGATCAGCTGTCAATCAATGAGGTTATTACTTCAGCCTGCATCTTGCACAATATGTGTATTGATCTTCGTGATCCTGGCTTTACAGATGTTGTTCTGGAAAATATCCGTGGTGCTGTTGGTACAGAAGAGGGAAATTCGGATATAAATGGAAATGATAGACGAACCGAATCCCTTACTAGCTTGATCCGTACCAGAACAAACTACAGAAACAGAACAAGGGAAGTATAAAAAAAACTTTATTTATATAAAAAAAAAATTAAATGTTATTATCATTAGAGGAAGGAGGGGAAGGGTTGTTGTTGTTGTCGCTAGTATTGGTGGTGGAAGGGGAAGAGGTAGGAGGGGGGTTATTATTTGCAAGAGATAAAGCAAACAATTCGGCCATTCTAGTCATAGCCGAAGTAGCTTCTCTCAACATCTCCGAATTTTCACGTCTTAGACGGTTATTCAACTCGATTTGCTCTCGATGAAACCGACGATCATCAGCTCTCTCTTGACGATTTCTTTCGTCAATTTCTTCCATACGGTTTGCCATAAACCAGACAGACACATCAACGTTTCGAGGTCGTCTAGTCACAGGCTCCTCCACATCATCATCATCTTCTACTGTGAATCGTCTACGTCTACCAGAGGTGTGTTGCTCACGATTATCAACAGTTTCACCCGATAGTGAACTATATAGCACGTGTGGGTTGACCGTTGCTATACGGGTCGTTGCATCTTCCATGGCATCATAAAACTCCCAGTGCGGAAGAGGAGCACTACCAGTACTTCTAGCTGCATCTCGTTTTTCTCTGTAGGATGCAATCATATCATTCCACTTGTTCTTCATCGAGCTAAGACTCCTGGTAACAGTGACAGCTTCATGATCGTTAAAGTTTCTCAAAACTGCAGCGTCAAGTCGGTCCTTTTCCTCAGTAGACGAGGTGTTGGTTATTTGCATGGCATAGTCTCTAAACAACTCAATCAAAACGTACGTGCTAGGTGCGTCCCAGTTTCTGCCAGTAGATGATTGACGTGTTGCGCCATCAGAAGAAGCAGACTCAGAAGGAGTTGCTGGAGCTGCTCCAGAAGAAACAGGTGCTTCAGAAGAAGCAGGTAAGTTTGCATCGGTGGGAGCAGTGGGGTTAGTAGGAGGAGTGGGGTTAGTAGGAGGATTGGGAGGAGTAGGAGCTGTAGAAGCAGTGGTAGGGGTAGCAGGGGTAGTAGGTACCGGGGCAGCATTTGATGTGACAGGTACATCAGGTCTGGCAGGTGCTGGTCTGTTGGCTCTGGGTCGACCCCTTTGGGTGTTGCCGTTAAAACCGTTGACAAAGTTTTCGCTGGTGTAATTTTGGAAACTCATTTTTTTTAAAATTGGATGATAAAAAGGATAGAGAGAGAGAAAAAACGTGAAGGGGTTGCAAATAAAAATTTATTTTAGAAAAAAAAACATTATCGTGAATTCAGTAGTCCGTTTTGGGTTTTTTTTCAAATAATAGAAGGGTTTTTGGTACTGTCAGATTTTAATCCTTTATTTGGATAATTCCTTTTTTTTTGCACTGAAAATTTTTCGACCTTTTTTATAATTATCTCTTTTTGTAACATTAATTTTTTAATCATTCAAAATGGAATCTGATGTAACATTTCACCAAAAAAAAAAAAAAAACGGAGAAGAAAAAAAAAGTCCTATATTTGGACCATTAAAAATTTTTTTTGTGTGCTTGTGAGGGGCCTAAGTATTGGGATGAAAAAAAAAGCCAAAAATTACTATATTGGGACATGAAAGTATCAAACTCTTTTTTCAAATAAAGCATACATCTTTAACTTAAATCAAGAAATCAAGTTTTGAAAATGCCTAAAGAACATAAAAAGAAAAAGAATAAGGGAAAAAAGAGAGACAGGGAAGCTCATTCGACTGATTTGAAAAATCAGATGGAACCAAGCAACCCTGGTCAAAAGATTTACTTACGATTGAAAATTCAGACAAACCCAAACAAGATCGGGGAGTCATCATCAAACATAAATACCGGGGAAAGTTTAGCAACAACAGATCCTGAAGTTAACAGCCAATCTAATAATGAAACAAATGTCACTTCAGATCAACAGCCCAAAAATTTCTTACGACTTAAATTATCAGGCCCAAAAGATGTTTTTGAGGTCATCGCTGAAAGGAATGCGAAGAAACGACGATACGCAACACGCATTTCAGAAGAACAGGAAGAGCAAACTTCGAATGACGAAGACGAAGGTAACGGAACTACACCCGCAAGTAATCCTAACTTCACAAGAATTGTTCCAATCAGCCGACAGGATAAGAGAAG